AGTTTTCCTTTCTTCCCAAATCGCATAAGGCCTTTCCATGGGGATACTTTTAACATTACAAAATCACCCACCTCGAATTCTTTGGGTCGTCTCCTTTTTTCTGCATAGGACTTCTGTCGATCTTGGGCCGCTTTCATTCTTTCTCGTACAATTTGAATCTTATCAGTGGTATCTTGAATCATTTCATGGCCTCCAAGGATTTTCTGTCCTACATCACGCCAACATAATGGCGTACGACATTTACGACCATATAATGCTTCATATGGTGGCATTTTGATTGAAGTGTGGTAACTGTTATTATACGAAAATTCGACAAGAGGTAAATATTTATCCCAGTTACCATCGAACTCCAAGACACATGCACGAAGCATATCTTCTACTGTTTGGATTGTTCTCTTCGTCTGACCATATGTCTGGGGATGATAAGCTGTGCTGAGAGCAACTCGAGATCCCAATTCACGTTGCATACTCGCCCAAAAGTGAGAAGTGAAGCGAGTATCATGATCGGAAATAATCTTTGGTGGCACACCATGTCTCGCAACAATTTCATCCAAGTATACTTGTGCGTATTTCTCCATTGGAGCCGTTTCACGCATGGCGAGAAAATGGGCGCTTTTAGTTAGGCGGTCGACAGTTACCCAAATGCTATCATGTTGTCTAGCAGTCTTTGGCAATTTGGTAATAAAATCCATGGACAGCTCTTCCCATTTGCACATAGGAACACTAAGACTTTCTGGAGTTCCGTAAGGCTTTTGGTGATCTGTTTCGACTTGTAAGCATACTAAGCATTCCTGCACATATCTTCCAATGTCTCTCTTTAATCCAGGCCACCAATAATCAACTCTTACATCATAGTACATTTTACTTGTACCAGGATGTATTGACAGTTTAGACTTATGGGGTTCATCTAAAATCTTCTGTCTTAATCCACCAATCTTTGGAATCCATAGCCGATTCTTAAATACCTTTAATCATCGTGGATCATCAAGTAAAACATCAGCATAATGTACCATCCCTTCCTTCTTCACATTTTCTGGCTTTAAGGCCTCTACTTGCCATTTCTCTAGTTTGTCAAGAATAGTGAACCTTACTGTAGTCTGAGTAATAGTATAACACACACTATTATGATAAACCTTTCTGCTGAGTGCATCTACAACTACATTGGCCTTTCCAGGATGGTACAAGATTTCACAGTCATAGTCTTTGATCAGATCCATGGCTCGCTGTTATCTCATATTCAAAGTTTGCTGACTGAATATATAGTTGAGACTTTTGTGGTCGGTAAACAATTGGCATTTTGTACCAAAAAGATAATGCCTCCAGAGTTTTAGGGAGAATACTACTGCAGCGAGTTCGAGGTCATGAATGGGATAGTTCTTTTCATAATCTTTCAGTTGTCTTGAAGCATAGGCTATTACTCTACCACTCTGCATCAACACACAACTAAGTACCAACCTTGAAGCACCACTATACACAGAAAAATCATTATCACCTTCTGGGAGTGATAAGACCAGAGCATGAGTCAAAAGATCTTTTAAAGTCGAGAAAGCTTTTTCTTGGGCTTCACCTCGAGAAAGCTTTTTCTTGGGATTCACTCCATTCGAACATGGTTTCCTTTCATGTAAGACTTGTGAGAGGTATAGCTATACGTGAAAAATCTTTAATGAATCTCCGGTAATATCCCGCGAGACCCAAGAAACTGCGAATTTTAGAAGCATTACGAGGCGCTTCCTAAATTTGAATGACTTCGATTTTGGTAGGATCTACGGATATACCGTCACCATAAATCACATGGCCGAGAAATTCAACTTGGTAAAGCCAAAATTCACATTTCGAGAATTTAGCATATAATTTCTCCTTTCGAAGAAGTTCTAATATTTCACGAATATGAATGGCATGATCAGCTTCCGATTTGGAATAGATTAGAATATCATCAATGAATACGATGACAGATTTATCGAGCATTGGACGGCATACCCGATTCATCATATCCATGAATACGGCAGGAGCATTTGTCAAACCGAATGGCATGACAAGGAATTCGAAATGCCCATAACGAATACGGAAAGTAGTCTTCGGAACATCTTGCTCGTGTACTTTCAACTGATGATAGCCAGATCTCAAATCAATCTTCGAGAAATAGCTAACACCCTGAAGTTGATCAAACAAATCGTTAATGCGAGGTAGTGGGTACTTGTTCTTGATAGTCACCCTATTTAGCTCACGGTAATCAATACACATTCGCATTGATCCGTCCTTCTTCTTGACAAACAACACTGGAGCACCCCAAGGAAAGGTACTCGGTCGAATAAAGCCTTTGCCAAGTAATTCATGCAGTTGGATCATCATTTCCTTCATCTCAGCTGGTGCGAGACGATAAGGAGTCTTTGCAATCAGAGCAGCACCAGGCACAAGGTCAATTCATAATTCTACTTGCCTGTCCGGAGGAAGTCCAGGCAAATCATCGGGGAAAACATCAGGATATTCGTTAACAACGGGAACATCATTTACATTTTTCTTCTCCTCTTTTGAGATATCAACTGTGTAGGCCAGATAGATAGGGCACCCCTTCGATATAAATTTACGAGCTTTTAGGAAAGAGATGATTTTTAATATTTTAAGTCTTTCTTCACCGTAGACATAAATAGGATCTTCCCCTTTAATAGGAATGTGTGCCATATTTTCGTAACACAAGAGTTATGTGTGGTTCTTTGACAACCAATCCATGCCGAGAATAATATCAAAGTTGGGCAAGGAGATAAGGATCAGGTTAGCAAGAAAATTATAGCCTTCAATTTCTACGACATAATCCCTATAGATTTTATCAGCAAGTAATGATATACTTCCCGCAGTATCTACGTGAAATGGTTGCGCGAGTGCATAGCAAGCAATTTGAAAAGAATGCGCAAATTCATGAGACACAAAAGAATCTGAGGCAGCAGAATCAAATAAGATGTGAGCAGGTCTAGAGTTGACAAGAAATGTACCCGTAACAACATTCGGGTCCTCGTGTGCCTCATATGTGGTAATCTGAAATGCACGACCCTTAGCTTTTGGCACCTCCTCCTTTTTGGTTGGAGTATTCTTTGGTTGTTGAACGGAAGCTTGACTTCCCACCAGTGTTGCAAAAATCGGACTACTCGGCCGAGTACTCAGAATCGGCCCTCTACTGAGGGGATTAGTGTCAACTCGGATGAAAAAATCGGAAGAAGTCAAAACTAGGTCAACCTCGGTCAAAACTCGGTCAACCTTGCTCCAACTTGGTCAACCTCGCTCCAACTCGGTCTTACTCGGGCTACTCGGTCAACAAGTCAAACTCGGTCAACAAATTTAAATTCGGTCAACGAGGGAAAAATTTGACAAACTCATAAAACTTATTTTTGACTTCAAAAAAATAACCCTAAAACCTAAAAAACAAGCGGCATTCCCAAATTTGGTTCCCCCCTCTTTTCTACGAGAATTCGACCTCCTGATGCTCTCTCTCGTCTATCTCTTCTACTGGTGAATCGTGATAGCAGGCTACCAGCGGCAGTGATCGAGGTCCTATTCTACTGGCAATAATGTGTTCCTGTCTTCCTGAGTCGTGAATCGTGATTGTAGACTGACGTGATCCTCCAGTAGCGATCAAGGTTCTTTCTCTTCTACTCTTACCGTATCTCTCTATGTCGATTTTGGATTTCTTCTTCAAGAACTTGGTTTTTTTTTGTATTTAAGTTTGTATTACCGTATGTATTTCACATTTGAGTATTTACAAAGGCAAATGAACTATATCTCTACTGTTACTCTATCTCGCTGTCGATTTCAGATTTCTTCATCAAGAGCCCGGTTCTTTGTATTTAAGAACTCCCACAATGTCCTACTATTACTCCCACTATGTATTTCATCAAGAACTTTGTCCCTGTTTCTCATTTTTCCCTTAAGATTGTTGGTTTTTGACTTGGTGTGTATTAGTGTATCTATTTCATGATTTCTTTACAGGTGTATGTATCAGTGTATGTATTTAGTATATTTGATTTCTTTACTAGAGACTGAGGTAGTGAGGTTACTACAAACAAGTGGCAGTGGATATGTATTTGATTGTCCCTGTTTCAGAATTCAGATTTCACAGTTTGTAACTTTGTATGTATTTTTTTTCTTGTTTTCTATGTAATAGACTAATAGTCTAAAAGTATGTATGCTATTCTGTTTTATCACTTTACGTGACTTTGTATATTTGAATGTATTTAAGAATTCAGATTTCCAATATTAGTTTCACAGTTTGTATCATTGTATGTATTTTTTTTCCTATTTTCTGTTTCCTGTTTTTCTTGTTTTCTGTTTTTCTGAAACAATGTGTGTGTTTTAGACTCACTAAGACACTAACTCACTTTGTGTTAGATAGATTTCTAACTGAAGTAATGACATCAACCACAACAACCCCGTCTACTTGATCAACTGCGGCTCAATAGAATCTTAAACGCAAATCAAATGATCCTGGATGGGAATATGCAGTGTGTGTGAATCCTAAGAAATTGGAGCGAGTGAAATGCATTTTATGTAATAAAGAGATGGGCGGGGGAATCAATAGACTAAAACAACATATTGCACTAATTAAGGGAAATGTTTCTTCATGCCCAAAGGCCACAAAACATGACCAAATCAAATGTAGAGATGCTCTTCTTGATAACCAAAACAAAAAGAAGGGGAAGGTAGATGAAAATAAGTCTTTAAGAGCACAAGTGAATATTAGAAGTAGTGAGAATGAAACCATTACCATCGATGATGAATTGATGGAAGATTCATTTGGCTCTAAGAAGGCTAAACGTTCTTTTGGGCCTATGGATCGGTTTCCAAACACTATCAACCCCCAAGATGTTTCAAACATGGGAAAGAGCAAACAAGAAAATATGTCAAATGTTATTCGTAAGGAACACATGATTCGTGTGAAATAATATATTTGTAGATGGGCCTATGAATGTGTCATTCCTTTTCATGCCTTTGAAAAGGATAGCTTCAAAATTATGTTGGAGGCGGTTGGCCAATTTGGACGTGAGGCACCACCTCCAACTAGATATGAGATGGGAGAAACATATTTAAAGAAAGAAGTAGAAAGAACAATAAATTTGTTGACACCATACAAAGACGAATGGAAATCTAATGGATGCTCGATTATGATGGATGCATGGTCCGATAGAAAGAGAAGGGGTATCATGAACTTATGTGTTAATTCAAAAACGGGGACCGTTTTTTTGTCATCTAAAGAATCATCGGATGAAGCTCACACAAGTGAACACATACATGAGTATGTTGAAAGTTGCATCAAAGAAGTTGGCCCCGAGAATGTGGTTCAAATTGTGACCGACAATGCATCAAATAATATGGGAGCGGCCAAGTTGTTAAAGGAAAAAAGACCAACTATTTTTTGGACATCTTGTGCAACACATACCCTCAATCTTATGCTTGAAGGTATTAATTTTAATTGTGCTAAGTTTATAATTTAGTGGTCTTTATTAATTTTTAATAATATTATTAACGTTTTATTTATTTTAAAAGGTATTGGTGGGCTACCTAGGTATAAGAAAATTCTCAACCATGCAAAAACACTCACAGTGTTTATTTATGCTCATCATAAAACTTTGTCCATGATGAGACACTTTACCAAGAAAAGAGATATTGTGCGACCGGGAGTCACGAGATTTGCTTCCGCATTTCTTACTTTGCAAAGTTTGGCCGATAAAAAGGCCCAACTAAAACAAATGTTTACAAGAGATGAATGGGAATCATGTAGACTTAGCAACACCGTTAAAGGGAAAGCCGCATATGACACGCTGGTAAATGCCACATTTTGGACCGGTGTAGCATTATGTTTAAAGGTTTTTGCCCCTTTGGTCAAAGTTCTTCAGATGGTTGATGCGGATCAAAAGCCATCAATCGCATGGTTTTGTATATGGTGAGATTCAAAATGCGAAACAAGAAATTATTAATGCTTTGGGCAACAATAAAAAAGCGTATGAGCCTATTATGGATATCATTTCGAAAAAGATGAAAGGTAGGCTTGATACAACCCTACATTTGACGGCTTACCTTTTAAATCCATATTATCTTTATAAGAATCCGGAGATCCAAAATGATATTGATGTGACCGATGCGATTGTTGATTTTCTCGATACAATATATCCGGGAGATCATTCTTTGCAAAACCATATTGTGATGGTTGAGTTGTCGGTTTACATGGGTAAACAATAAAAATTTAGTCGAGAAATTGCAATTAAAGGATGTAAGGTGAACAACGACAAATTTGATCCGGGTAATATATTTTTAAATTGTATTTATTTTATAAAATTCCAAAATAATAAATTTAAAAATGTTTTTTTCAACTTGTAGCGAATTGGTGGGTAGCTTATGGTGCCTCAACTCCACAATTGAGAAAGATTGCTACAAGGATACTTTCTTTAACAACTAGTTCTTCGGGGTGTGAAAGAAATTGGAGCACTTTTGAAGGGGTTGGTAGTTTACTAAATTTTAATTATAATTTTTAAGTAATTTATTCAAAACTTGTATATTTATCAAACTTTTTTTTTTGCTTATTTAAATTTGTAGGTACATACAAAGAAAAGAAATAGATTAGAGACGTCAAAATTGAACAATCTTGTTTTTGTTCAATTTAATGCAAATTTGATGGAAAATAACAAGAAAAGGAAGACTAAGGATATGGAAGTACTTTCAGCAAAAGATGAAAGTGAGGCTCAAGAATGGATTGTCGAAAATGATGTATTGTTGGATGAAGTAGAGCCCGATGAAGCTATGGGTGACGAGGAGTTTTTACAAAATCGTAGAAGTTCTAGATTGAGAGAACTTGATGAGGAAGAATTAGTGTCGGAGGATGAGGAAGAACTAAATGAAGATGTTGAATATGAATCGGATGGAGTTAACATCAACGATCAAATGGGAGCTACATTGGAAGAGGAAGATTAAATGATTAATCTAAATATATAATATTAAAGAATGGTGTCTATTTTTGAAACAATTTAACATTTGAAAATGTATCTTTTGTTGATATTTCACCTAATTTGTAATGAATTTCAATCAACTAATATTTTAAATTATGATCTTTGACATGTATAATTTACTTTAAAATATTTTTTTACATGATTTACCGTACCCGAGTACTCCCCGAGTAATCCGAGTATTTGTTACTCCCCCCTCGGCCGAGCAGGTGCCGAGTAGCGAGTTCTCCAACCTTGCTTCCCACCATTTGGCTTGTAAGAGTAGGGCAGAAACGCTTCTTGTGGCAAGTAACACCACATGCATAGCAAGTAACATTCTTCAATGGGCAAGCTGGCTTTATGTGACCCGTTTCTCCACATCCATAACAGACCACAGATTCCTTTTCTATTTTGCATTGGCCCGGATGATTCTTTCCACAAATGCGACATGAAGGCGATTGAATAGAAAAAGATTGTGATCTACCGCGACCACGAAAAGCACTCTAAGACTATACTTGCTTGCTAGGTTCAGATCGAACGGATTGAGCTGGTGGAATAGAGGAAACAGGAACAGTTCAATCAGTATGTGGATGCTTTGGAACAGAAGGAGTGGCACCACGTATCTCCAAGTCATGCTCGCGTCTTCGGGCATACTCAACAGCTTTATCAAATGACAGAACATCCCGATTGGCTACAAAATTGTGGATTTCATGCCGTAGTCCCTCCATGAATAACTGAATTTTTTCGTCTTCAGTTGGAATGTACTTTGCAGCAAACCGTGCTTTTTGATTGAACCGAGTTTCATACTCATTCACAGTCATTCCTCCCTGTTTAAGCTCGAGGAATTCTTTCTCCAATCTCCTCCTCATGTCTAGAGGATAGTACTTCCCTAGCAAACAAGTTTTGAACATTTCCCAGGATATATATTCTCCTGGTCATACCCGTTAAGAGCTTCATATGTTGCCTCCCACCAGACCAAGGCTTCTCCGATGAGCATTGCAGAAGCATAATTATCCTTGTCTTCATTATCCACAAGAGAGATACGAAATACTTCCTCTGTGTTCTGAATCCAAGTTAGAACAACTATGGGATTAAGGACACCAGAAAACTCTGTAGCACCACTACTCTTGAAAGTTTTGAATGAGGGACGTCTCGTCAACTCCCTCAAAGATTCTCTAGTGGCTTTCTCTTTTCCTTTATCATTATTCTTTTTGTGTTCTTCGAGAGTCTTCCGAACAACACCAATAAGTTTATCCATAAGTCGCTCCTTGCGAGGGGATACTGGAGTGTCTCCTTCATTAGGACGAGGATCTCCACCCACCTATGGCGTATGGCTACTCACCTGTTCAGCCATTGCTCTGAAATTTGGAGTAATATAGTATTTTAGAATATTAGGATTTATTATTACCTAATACTTTACTTAAGTCTTTCCTATGGTTTGTATCCATATACTTACAATGAATCCGTTCATATATTGAACTTCCAATAGTTTAAGTCTAAATACCAATCCGTGGGATTTAGTTCACTTAAACTACTGCTCTGATACCATGATTGAAAGACCCAAACTTTCATACTAAAGACATTGTTACTCCAAGTTACTCCAAAACATGCTACATGCATATTCAAAAATAATATTTTACATTGATAATTTGATTACAAAACACTGGATACAAATCGACTAAGTTTTAGTATATTACATAACTACCAAGGATATTAAAGCTTTTATATAAACGTAAACCCAAGTACAAAAGTAATAGTATAAACTATTCTAAATCTTCCAACAATATATGACTATACTGGATGCTTATTACCTGCAATTGTTAAACACTGAGAGGGGTAAGCGGTGACGCTTAATGAGTTCAATAATAGATACAATATAACGTTATGCCATATATATACTTCAATATGGCAGAAGTAAAGGAAACTAAGAACAACAAAGGCATATGTGAATCATGCGACAAGCTTTCCATATCAATCAATGATTTGATTCAAAGATATACAATCAATGAGACATAACAATTTTAATACTTGATATACATCAATAACGCTTTGGCCCAAATGGCACAAGAAGACATATAATTTCTGATTAAACATTTTGGTAGATTTCAGGCTTTCAGCCCTATCTAACCTTTTGCCAATGCCATAGGGGTAGAAGTCATTCTCTTGCGAGACATGCTCTACATGGATAGAGGCTACATACCAATACCACTGTGAATCTAAGTCCTTTCACTGATCACATGGCCAAAGGTACATATTTGCTATCAAAATAGCACGAAATAATAACACGGGAAAATAACATGGAAAAGCACATAGCATATATAACACATAACATACAATTGTTCCTATATATTGAACTCACCATGAAATAACCGGAGGTTAAAATAGTAATTTGGGCAGCACTTCGTGTCTAAAATGACTTTCTTTGATGAAAACGGGGAATTTTAGTTGAAAACCAGCCTTACGCTGGCAGAGTTTCGACTTGAAAATATGATTTTCTCGGGAACTTCGGAGCGTCGGGACTTGCTTCGGGTGTCGGGGATGATATCGGGACCTCGAGGGATTAAAAGTATCTAGAGAAGAAGTAGAGAGTGATAGAGAATAGATTTTGTAAACAAAAACCCGAAGGTCTTGCTTTCTATTTATAGTAGCTGAAACCCGAATTACGTTGGGCGTAATCTTCAAGTACGTTGGGCGTACAGCTTAGTACGCTGGGCGTACCCTGATGCGTGGTATCAGACGTGTCGAACCTGCGTGATACGTTTCGATTGCGAGGAATAGGCGACGTGGCCAATCTCGGACCGTGAACACGAGTACGCTGGGCGTACGCCGAATTTCCAAACTTCAAAAATTCGTAACTTTCGTGTACGAACTCCGTTTTTGACGTTCTTTATATCCACGCGTAGGTGAGATTATGCTCTACAACTTTCGTTTAGACTCCGTCGGCTAACTTTGAGTTCATTTTTAATATTATATTTTTAACAGGCCGGGACAGTAAAAGTCCGTTAAAATCTCATAACTTCTTCCGACGTCCGTTTCCGTTTGTCTTTTTACCGTTGTACTACTATTGACGAGACCTTCGACCTTTATTTCAGGTTTTTAGTTGTCTACTGCTATACCGAATCTTGGAAAAATCATAACTTCCTCATACGATGTCAGATTTTGACGTTCTTTTTATGAAAATTCTCGGTTTAACGAATACTACGACTTTCATGTAGATCACTAAAGATAAAAAGTAGTTTGTAGAAAACTCACTTTTTACGTCATACGGCGTCGAGCCGGTTCTGTCGCGAAACTTTAAGGAGTCATAACTTCTTCGTTATAGCTCGGATTTCGATGAGGTTTTCGTTTTAATGTTTCTAACGAGATTCTTTACAACTTTGAAGAATATAATTTTACTTATTTTCAACTTTATATTTTCGTTAATTTCAATAGTTAACTTTGGATCGGAAATCTCATAAGACTTCCCATCACTTTCTGAACGATTCTAAACATAGTTTACTTCAATTCTAGTAAAACTTATCAGTTAGAACTCAACGCTCATAATCATATAATATTTCATAATATTATTTACTTTTAAAAGTTACAAAACACGATAACTGAACGTGTATGTTATCAGGCTATAGAATCCTAGTTACGTATAACTATGATGCATACACTAAGCAACTACAATAATGATGTCAATTTCATATAAGGAAGAACCCTAGGATATCAAACATCATATAATCAAGCAATTCTATCATGCGATTTCTGAAGATCCCTAGCCTATCACTAGCATGTTGTTCTAACATATCACGAGATCAAATAACAGTGTGGTAATTTGTGGTCTACTTATTGTCTGTGACTGATCGTACACATCGTCTCCACTTTGATTATTTTGAAAACAATTTGAAAATCATTTTTAAAATCTTTTTCCTTAGTTTGAGACTAGAATTGCACGAGTGTTCCCCCAATTCACTCAAACCAAGGCTCTGATACCAACATGTAACACCCATAAAAATTAAATTTAAACTTTTTAAAACCAACCCAAATTCATAAATTGTTTACAAACATAGTTTTCAAAACATTTTCAACATCAGAGTCTTCCAAAATCATAAGACAAAACATGAGGATGTGTACAGTCACGCCTTCGTCTTTCCGCGGTCATTTGAAGTTGTTAAGAATAAATCTTGAGTGATCGATTAGATTCAAACAGGTAAAAGGAGCAAGAACACAAAATAAAGATCAAAGATGTGTCGAATGATTAATAATCACAGCTTTAAAAGAGCTCGATGAAGAACTTCTACTGTAAAGGCTATGTAGGGTTTACAAGATGAACGATTAGATTGTTATAAGACATGGTGCATGCATCCACCATAAATAGTAAAACCCTAATTATAAATGAATGGGTGGACAGGCCCAACCCAATATACAAAATGGACTAACAATAAATCTGTTGAGATTAAAACTCTTAAGATCGATAAGATTCTTAACAAGCAAAACAAGAACACAAAGTAAACAAGAACACACGATGAATCAAACTGATGTCGAATGATTAATAAGCCACAACCTCAGAAGAACTCTATTAAGAATTGCTACTGTAGAGGTGTGGTAGGGTTACAATAATGAAATCAACGACTAGCCTATAGACGATGCATGCATGCACTATATATAGATCTTATAACCCTAATAAATGACGGTTGGACAGGACCAAACCGTATACAAAAGGACTAACGTAAAAAGCCCAATGACGCAATCTTCTATACCCAACAATCTTCCCCTTTGCATCAATTGAGGCGAGAGATGTCTACTGTTGTGCTTGTTTCGTCTTCTTAACTGTTTTGAACAGCTTCGGTATGATAGCCAGTAGAGTATGACGAAAAAGAATATACCAGCGAAGCATATCATTGAAATTCTTCTTGACAGCATCGTCATTCTGTTTGCACCTGTTTATGATATTCAAAATGTGATCCAAACAAACAGTGGAGAACAGGTGTTTGTCAGGTAAGGCGA